CTTTCCTATCACGACGAATATGCATTCCTAAAATTTGTCATGCCGGTCCAAGATCCTTCATACTAAATGAGTTAAACAAATCTACGTTCAAATTGCGGATCAACTGAACATCTTGCCCCACTATCAAAATGTCATCTGCATAAAGCATAAGGATAATGAAATTACCACCATGGGATTCTCTAACATAAACATATTGATCTGCATCTGTCCTGGTATAACGATTACCCCCCATAAAGGAATCAAATTTCTTATACCATTGTTTTGGAGCCTATTTCAACCTATACAAACTCTTTTCAACATGCAAATCATATGTTTTTTTCCTCTTATTTCAAATCCCTCTGGCTGAACCATGTAGATTTCTTCCTCCAAATCACCATGGAGAAAGGTGTTTTTCACATATAAGTGCTCAAGCTCAAGATCCAAACTGGCTTCTAAACCCAAAACCACTCAAACCAAAGTCATTTTGACAACAGGAGAGAATATATCATCGAAGTAAATCCCTTTCTTCTAACCAAAATCCTTCACCACCAATCGAGTTTTATACTTCACTAGCTTTTCACCATCTTTCTTCAACTTGAACACCCATTTATTTTTCAATGCCTTTTTACCTTTAGGAAGCTCTGCTAGCTCATAAGTGTTATTCTTCTGCAAAGAATTCATCTCTTCCTACATAGCCTTCACCTAGTTCTGTTTGTCCTTATGAGACTGCACCTCTTGAAAGCATTCTGGCTCCTCTCATTAGTTACCAATACATAATGTGATACATGATACTTGGTTGACGGATGATGCTCCCTAGTAGATCTTCTAATCTAAGGTTCCGATGTAGTAGGTTGCTCCCTCTGCTCAGCATCCTCCCGATCATCTTCATCAACCATTCCTGGCTCATCAACATGATTATCAACATATGTCTCTACCCCTCGAGTGGTACTGTATGGAGGCAAAGAGATAGGTGTAAGATCAGTGACATCCTCAACAACACGTCTTTGATTCCCAGATTTCTCGAAATCTACCAACTTCTAATTTTCATGAAAAATCACATTTCTGCTTCTGATTATTTTCTTCATTTCTGGATCCCATAGTCTATAGCCAAATTTTACATCTCCATAAACAAAAATGCAAGCACTAGCTTTATCATCTAATTTCAACAGTTGTTCCTTAAGCACATGTGCAAATGGTTTGCACCCAAAAACCTTCAAGTGAGAATAAGAAACGTCATTTCATGCCCAAACCCTTTCTGGAATCTCAAAATCCAAAGGAACTGATGAAGACCAATTGATTAGGTAGCACGCTGTCTGAATTGCTTTACCCCATAATGACTTTGGTAACCCAACCATCCTTAACATATTTCTGACATTTTCCACAATTGTGTGGTTCATTCGCTCTGCCACGCCGTTGTGCTATAGGGTACTAGGAACTATCTTCTCATATCTAATATCATGCTCTGAACAACAATTTTCAGCCACTTTAGATATGTATTCCCCTCTGTTGTCAATTTGGAGACATTTCAAAACCTTTCCACTTTCCTATTCCACCAAGCATGAACTTTTCGAAGTAATGGAAAACTTGGTCTTTTGATCTCAAATAAAACACCCACAACTTTCGTGAAGTATCATCAATAAAAGTAAGAAAATATTTATTGCCACCTAAGGACTCCACCTCAATGGGACCACAAATATCATAATAAACCAAATCTAAAATATTAGATTTTCTACTAGAGGGTTTTTGAAAGGAAACTCTATGTTGTTTACCAAATAAACAATAATCACATGAATTTAGTGACGTACCTTCGGAAAAAGGAATGAGAGACTTCATTGCCAAAATCTGCAATCATTTCTCGTTCATGTGAGCCAACAACTTGTGCTACAAGTCTGGTGAACAATCACTTTCAGTTGCATTCACCGCTTCACTACGCACCTTTATTTGTGTCTTGTAAAGTGTGCAACAAACCTTTCTTCTAGCAAATACCATCGACCCTTTTATAAGTTTACATCTTCCGTTACCAAAATAACTATTATAACCCGCTTCATCAAAAGCACGTCTGGATAGCAAATTCAGGCGTATGTATGGAACATGTAGCACATTCTTCAATGTTAGGCTGGATCCAATATCAGTCTGAAGACAAATATTACCAATTCTCACAATGCTGACAAAACTGTTATTACCCATCTTCACCCTGCCAAAGTTACTCGATTTGTATGAATTGAAGAACTCTCATCTTGGAGTAACATGGTAAAAAGCCGCTAATTCAATAACCCATTCAACAAACAAATTTAAAACACGACAACATTGTTCATCTTTAGCAGAAAAAACTGCTACCATTACTTCCTCATTTGAAGCACTAGCTGCCATATTCTGATCAGTCTTCTTCTGATTTTTCTCCTTTTTAAATTTGTTTTTCCAAGTCATGCAATGTTTCTTTATATGACCATATTTATCACAATAAAAACAGTTGACATTTCCTCTTGCATTTGACTGACTTCTGAAGTTACCACGTCCCTTAGGACCTTTACTTTTACTCCTTCCTATGTTCTCTATAATAAGAGCATGTGTACCATTCCTACCATAGTCTTTCCTTCTCATTTCTTCATTAAACAAACTGTATTTTACTAAACTAAGTCCAAGCACACCATTCAGAGCAGAGTTACTAAGTAATACTATCAAAATCTCCCAACTATCGGGCAATGAACTCAAAAGTAATAGTGTTTGTATCTCATCATCTAACACTATTTTCATTGTGGTCAACCGATTTTTTAAGTTTTGTCAGTCACTCAAATGCCCAGTGATAAGTGCGTTTTACATGCTTGTTTCATGCTACAAACACTGACAATTGTGGATAAATATGTTGAAATACAACTTAATTCTACGAAATTGTATTTTGCAGGAATGTGATGAATGTGGCGGAAATTATGAGAAATAAAGTGAAAAGGGACTAGAACGAAAGGAAACCAAAGTTTAGGGACCAAAGTACAAACAATCAAAAGATGACCTAGAAGAGGACTTGGAAACATGAAGATGTCGAGGACCAATTGAGCATTAGAATGAAACATTGGAAGAAGAAGAAGACGGGGGAAAAGAGGTCGAGAAATTCAAAATGGAGTTTGAGGCCAAAATGCAAAGTGGTGGAAGTTTGACTTAACTATGAGGTCGCATGGAACAAGAAGCTATGTGATCGCATAGGTAAGTCTAGGAAATTCAAGAAGCCATTTTTGCTCTACTTTGTGGTTGCATAGTGGTATACTATGCGGTCGCATAGTAGGAATTTCTAACGCGATTTTCTGGTTTCATATTTTGATTGAAACACTTATGGAAATAATATCATAGTCGTGTATTTAAACTTTATAGCCGTCTAGAACGAGGAGGGGAATATTCATCAGGGTTTTGAGAGAGGAAAAGAGACAATAACAAAAAAGCAATATTACGAAGCGACAATTAAATTTAAGAATCGAATTGGTGATGCCGTTCTTCATTGATTTTTCTGATTTTCTTTGTTCCACATTGCTAGGCTAGATTAATTTTGTACTAGGGTTAGAAGAATTATGTGATATGTTCTTAAACTTTAGTTTAAAATTCTTGACACCAAAAACACGTTTTGGATAATTGAATGATTTATATGAATTTCTTTTCTCCATAATTATTGTATATATAATTGTGTGAGTTTGGTAACTTATTTCATGCATTCGAAAGAAGGGGAATACATTTGACGTGGTATAAATCATCATAGGGTCCGATGGGGATAGAAATATACCGCTATGCCTTGTGCGAATATTTAAGTGTTCATAAAAACTCGTGCATAAGGTATGTTCGCATCCGTCTTAGAGATATAGTATGGTCACATATTGGAATATGCTTAACTTTACTCAAGAAAGACTGTTAAATAATTTATGAGTATTGATTCTTCAATATGTCAACCGTGTATCAAGGTGTAGAATTAGGTTTAGAGCAGACTATTACATAGGGATTCGTGATCCTAGTACATTCATCATATATTGAAAAAAAATATTTTGCATTTGACATCAAATTCATTTAGTTTAGTTAAAGCATTCTTAATCGCATCCGCATAATTAATTTAGTTATAAATTCATCTCATTTTTTTTTATAGTTTCGGTTAAGGTTACGGTAATTAGAATTATAATTAATAAATCTTCGTGAGACGATATTTGGACTCAAAAAGTTCACTTTATTACTTTAATGAATCGTACACTTCCGATGATTTTAATTCGAAATATATTTTTGTGAACAAGTTTTTGCAACTGATCTTCTCTCCTTTAGCTTCAGATTTATAAGATTTCTAATAGCAAAAGCTTTATTTTGAATGGTCTTCCTCTCATAGAGACCCTCTAGTTTTTCCCAAAGCTATGAGTATCTGTCTCTTGAAATATATGATGGAATACATTAAGACAAACCCACTATTTAATATATCCAACGACTTTCCTATTCATCTTCTTCCAGTTACTGTCGCTCATACTACTTGGCTTAGCACTATCACCTTCTATAGGTTCATGTAAATCCTTTCAATAAATGATATCCTCTATCTAGGCTTCTAAATAGAATAATTTGAAGCCGATAA